TTATTGTGTGTGTGTGTGGCCAGCTCAGCCCACCAGGGGGTGGGGCTGGCTGGCATGTGGTGCTGGGGGATCGAACCGCAGTCCCTGTGCTTTGCCAAGCTTGTTTCAAGTAGGTACTTTAGACCACTGAGCCATCTCTCCAGCCCCATTTTTAGTTCTTTATATATATTTAGGTATTAGTCCTTTGTCTGAGGAATAGCTGGCAAAGATTTTTTTCCCACTCTGCAGGTTATCGCTTCACTCTGTCGGTGGTTTCTCTTGCTGTACAAAAAGCTCTTTACTGGGGCTGGGGAGATGGCTCAGTGGAATAAGTGCTTCTCTGGCGAGCGCAAGGGCCTGAGTTCAATCCCCAGTTCCACAAAAAAAAAAAAAAAAAAAAAAAGCTCTTTACTAAGATGATACCCCAGTTGTTGACTGTGTGACAGTTCCTGTGCACTTGCCCCCGAGGGTCTCACCACATAGCTCAGGCCAGCCTGGAACTTAGTTCTGGGGCAGGCACCGTGGTCAGTTAGTAGATGAACACAGCTAATTAATTATAAAATGCTCCAACACTCTAAAGAGGAGGAACCAAGGGAGGACAGTTGCAGATGGGAACACGACAAGGTACGTGAAGGAGGCCTCCTGGACAGCCTACCCTGAGGAAAGACTCCTGTGCTTGTAGTCACACATCTGTGAACCCAGCGGTCTGGGAGGCTGAGGCAGGAGGATCCCTAATTCAGGCCCAGCCTGGGCAAGTTAACAAGAGCCCACCTCACAATTAAAAAAGAGTTGGACATGTAGCTCAGTGTGAAGGCCCTGAGTTCAATGCCCAGTACCAAAATATAAAAGACCAGAGTTTCGAGATAGCCAAGCGCTCTAAAGCGCCTTCTAGGAGCTGGGGAGATAGCTCAGTAGAATAAGCACTTGCCTGGCAGGTGCAAGGGCCTGAGTTCAATCCCTGGTTCCACCAAAAATAAATAAAGTGCCTGCTTAGGCAAGCTTAGGCACAGGGGACCAAGGTTCGATCCCCAGCACCAGCCGCACCCTCAGGGCAGGCTAAGCCCACCCCAAAAAAGAAAAAAGACCAGAGTTTCCCCGGTACTTGGGAGACTGAAGCAGGAGGATCTTTGAAAGTTTGAGACCATCCTGGGCTACAGAGTGAGCTCAAGGCCAGCCTCAACTGCATAGCTAGACCCTGTCTCAAAAAGAAAAGAAGAACAAGAAAAAAAAAAAGCCCAGAGTTTGAAAAGAAAGAACAACACACAAGGACCCACATATCACAGAGCTTTGGAGCGAGGCAAGGGCTGGCACATGGGCTGAGCAGAGCAGCAAGCACAGGCTGGAGATTACATCTGAAGTACGGGGCGCCAGCTGCTGCACCCGGCATGGTGGGCTGAGGGTTTGCAGAGTCGGGCACCCCTAGGAGCTTACATCTGCCTGGTGCAGGTGCTGAGGCCTACCTGAAGGAGGTTCCCTTTCCCTTGGAGTGGGGGCACGATGACACACTGTGATGCCCGCCAAAAGCCAGGCGGTGGTCCTGGGAGTCAGGGCAGGAACGCCAGGCTGGGGTTTGGGCCCTTCCTGCGGCCACTTCTCCTGGACATCCACATTCCCTTCCTGGGGCCGGGGAGAGAGCTCACTAGAACAAGTGCTTGCCTGAGTTCAATCCCCCGTACCGCAAAAAAAAAAAAAAAAAAAAAAAAAAAAAACCTTACCACATTCCCTTCTTTCCTTCAGCCGTGATCCGAGGTGTCACCACCAAAGAGCTGTACCCAGAATTCGGTCTGGACGTGAATGACTGAGCTGAGCCTCGGGCCCACGGGGACCGGCAGATGTGGATGCCAGAAGCCATCGAGCCACCCAGCACCCAGCACGGTTGGCCATGAGAATATGCTGGCAGCCCTCTTCCAAAGCACCAGGCCCAGGAGGCCGCCGAGAGAAATGGCAGAGCAAGAGGGGGGCCTAGCCCAAGGTTCCTGGAGTGTCCCACCCCTGCGGCGTGTGCCCTTGTGTGTCCCATCTGTTAATAAACATTAGCACCAGCCAGGCATGGTGGCGCACACCTGTGATCCCAGCACTCAGGAGGCTGAGGCAGGAAGATCATTGCAAGTTTGAGACCAGCTGAATGACAAAGTGTGCCTAAGGCCAGCCTGAACTGCATAGCAAGATCCTGTCTCCAAAAGACAAAAAATAATAAATAAACATCAGCACCATCTCAGGCTAGAGCTGTTCGCTGATTCCCTGACCTTTGGTAGCCCTTGCTCACACCTAGGAGAGCACCAGCCCCGGGTCATAGCCGCCTACTTGCTGGGCACTGAATTATTAAGTACCTCTCCGCCATTAGCTCCGGAACTTGCTAAGTTGCCCAGTTTAGGTTCAGACTTGCAAGATCTGCCTGCCTCGGCCTCCCCAGTGCTGGGATTCCAGGCTTGCACCACCATGCCCAGCCCTCTCCTATTTAAAAACAGCACAAATGAGTAAATGGGGGCTGGCCGGATAGCTCAGGGTACTAAAAATAAACCAATGAGGAGGAAATGGAATCTCTGGAAGGCCAAGTGGCTGGCTTGCACAGTGTCACCCAGGCAAGAAGTGGCTGCTTTCTGTGTTGGGGAGAGCAAGGAGCAGCCAGGATGAGGAATGAGAACACTGCTGGGTCTGGTTTGGTCTCACTGCGTAATGCAGGCTGGCCCGGGCTTGCTGCTGGGCTGGCCTTGAACTTGAGGTGATGCTGCTGCCTCGGCCTCCCAAGTGACTAGATTTTGGTTTTGTTTTGTTTTTAATTTTATTTATGTGTGTGTGTGTGTCCAGCGCAGCCCACCAGGGGGCAGGGCTGGCTGGCATGTGGTGCTGGGGGATTGAACCGCGGTCCCTCTGCTTAGCTAAGCTTGTTCTAAGGTGCTTTAGACCACTGAGCCATCTCACCAGCCCATGGTTTTGTATCAGTGTCACAGTATTTAACTTTCAGAAAACTTGTAATTCACTTCTAAATTGCAGCCATATTGACTGCATACATTTTTTTTTTTTTTTTAGTGGAACTGGGGCTTTTTTTTATCTTTTTTGAGACAGGGTCTCGCTGTGCAGTTCAGGCTGGCCTTGGCTTCACTTTGTAGCACAGACTGGTCTCAAACTTGCAGCGATCCTCCTGCCTCAGGCTTCTGAGTGCTGGGATTACAGGTGTGCATCACTATGCCTGGCAACCAAAAGTTTACTTTGTGAAATAAAACTCTTATTTAAAAAAATGTTGCCAGGCATGGTAGCACACACCTGGAATCCCAGCACTTGGGAGGCTGAGGCAGGAGGATCACCGCTGTGAGTTCAAGGCCAGTCGAGGCTACCATAAGCAAGTTCAAAGCCAGCCTGTGCTGTGTAGCAAGACCCTGTGTCAGAAAAACAAAAAAAACCACTTGGTTTTCCTGTGTAGTTGACCACTTTTCTTTCTATACTCAAGTAAATCAAATCAAATCTGATAAAACTAAATTTACTTTGCAAAGAGTTGGTCTTTCTTTGTTATCCTTGGTAAGAGGCAGGACCTGGTGTTAGATTGTAGCTCTGTTTGTTGTTCTCAAATTCTTGTAATTGCCAGGCATGGGGACACATGCCTGTTATCGTAGCCCTCAGGAGGCTGAGACAGGAGGATCGTTGCAAGCTTGAGACCAGCCTAGAGTACAAAATGAGGTCAAGGCCAGCCTGTCTCCAAAAGATAAAAAGTAAATAAACAAATTCTTGTAACCTCCATGTGGAATGAACTAAATTCTAAACCCTTGCCATGCATGGTGGCTCGTGCCTATGATCCCAGCACGTAGGAGGCTGAGGCAGGAGGCCCGCTACGAGCTTGAGGCCAGTGTGGGTTCCATAGTGAGTTCAAAGCCAACCCGGATGATATACTGAGAACTTGTCTCAAACAGAAGATGAAGGGCTGGTGAGACAGCTCCATGGCTGAGCGCCTGCTTAGGCAAGCGCAGGGACTGAAGTTCAATCCCTGGCACCACGTGCCTTGCCAGCTCCCCCCCACCCCCCGCCACATGCTGAGTGGGCCGCGGAGACCAGGCGGGGTGGCACACACATAATCCCAGCACTGGGGAGGCTGAAAGCAAGAGGATCGCTAGGAGTCGGAGCTGCATAGTGAGACCCTGTACCAAACATTAAAAAAAAGTTCACAGGCCAGCTAGATACCTCAGCAGATTAAAGAGCCTGCTTAGGCAGACGCAGGGGTCAGAAGTTCCATCCCGGGCCTGCCGTGCCGGCCCCACCCCCAGGACACTGAGATGGTGATCGAGACCGGGCGCGGTGGTGTGCGCCTGTAATCCCAGCTCTTGGGAGGCTGTAACCAGGCGGATCACTACAAGTCTGATCCAGTAGTGAGACCCTGAACACCCTGTATACCCTTCCCTAAAATACAAAAAAAAAAAAGGATAAAGAGAAGGCTACCCAGCTCTGTTACCTGTCAACACAAGAAAATAGGGTCAGGCTCAGCCCAAATGGAGAAGGCTGCTCTCCTTGCCAGGAGAGCTGCTCAGGTGGCCTCCCAGGATGCTCTGGGCCATGCCCAGAAAGGTGCCCTGCAGTTTGCTGTTTAGGAAGCTCGCGCCTTCCTGACAGTCTGCTCAGAAGCAGAGCCTGGGCAACAGGTGAGCCTTCAGGTGACAGGCACCCAATGTTTCTAGGTGACAGAGGACAGTCTGGCCAGACCTTGCTGTGGCTGAGACCTCCCAGGAAAGGGACCAAGCCGAAAAGCCAAACAAGGGCTGGTGAGATGGCTCAGTGGTCTAAAGCACCTACTTAGAACAAGCTTAGCAAAGCACAGGGACCGCGGTTCAATCCCCCAGCACCACATGCCAGCCAGCCCTGCCCCCTGGTGGGCTGAGCTGGCCACACACATACACACACACACACATACATTAATTAATTTTTTAAAAAAGTTTAGGGGGCTGGTGAGATGGCTCAGTGGTCTAAAGCACCTACTTAGAACAGGCTTAGCAAAGCACAGGGACCGCGGTTCAATCCCCCAGCACCACATGCCAGCCAGCCCCGCCCCCTGGTGGGCTGAGCTGGCCACACACACACACACACACAAATAAATAAATTTAAAAAAAATAAAAAAAAAAGTTTAGGTCAGGCAGGGTTGCACACGCCTCTAACCCCAGCACTCAGAAGCCTGAGGAGGAGGGTCACCAGGAGTTCAAGGTCAGCCTGGGCTACATGGTTAAGACCCTGTCTCAGGAAACAAAAGGCAGAAGAGAAAAAGAAGTTTTACATTTATTAAAGGTAAGAAAAATAGGGAAAGCCAAAGTACTCTGCAGAGTGTGGGGAAAAAGAAAAACACCCTGCACACCTGCCATTGAGGAGGAAGACGGTGGCCACGAGGCCAAGGACTGGCCCAGGGCAGGGCCCGGAAGTGCTGCCCGTGTCCAGGCTGATTTGGGGGAGACCCGCTCCCCCCTGCCCACCTCCTTGGAACTCTGCCCAGTGAGGGCAAGAGCTGCTGTAGTCAGGCCTCCCTTGCACCTGTCATCGTAAAGGACACCACTTGGTGCCACCTAGAATGTCAGGATTTTCTGCCAGACGGGCACATGCCTGAGCCCTCTCGCTGCCCACTCAGCTGCAGCCCTGCTGGGCGTTCTCTTGAGATGTCAGGGGGGGAAGCACCTGGGGACCATTATCAGGCAGAGAAGGAAATGGAGTTTATGAAAATTTTATCATTTAAGCTGGGCGTAGTGGCACACACCTGTGATCCCAGCACTCGGGAGGCTAAGGCCAGCCTAAACCATAGCAAGACCGTGTCTCAAAAAGAAAGGGCCAAGGGGCCGGGGAGATGGCTCAGTAGGATAAGCGCTTGACTGGCAAACGCAAGGATCTGAGTTCAATCCCCGGTTCTGCCAAAAAAAAAAAAAAAAGGGCCAAGGATGTAGCTCAGTGGCACAAAGGCCTGGATGGCAAGCACAAGGTCTTGAGTTCGATTCCTGGTACCAAAAAAAGAAAAGCTAGTCCTAAGTCTGTCCATGGGGACCTGTGTGACCCCAGGCCACTCACTGACCCAGTCTGTGTACTGCACAGCAGGATGATTAGCTGATCACTTTTCTTGCTGCTCAGACAAAATACCTGACACCTGCAAGGTCGCAAGGTGCGGAGGAAAGGACTGCGTAGCTCAGTCTGTAGAGGTTTCGGTCCCGAGGTGGCTGACGCCAGGGCAGGGTGGCATGACACCTTGGTGAGCAGAAGGTAGCGAGGCAAGTAAACGAGCACAGGGACCTACCTTCTTCTGCCCTTTTTTTATAATCTCGGCTACCAGGATTTAGGCAGCACCATTGAATCAGTGGGTTGATCCAGCCACCTCACACCACTAATCCCAGCACCACAGCTGTAGCTCCAGCCACCTCTGAGAAAGCCCCCACCTGTGGCTATGGGAGGCTTCAGTTCTGTAGCTGAATAAAACAAATCTGTATCCCAAACTCGGGCTTGTAGTCGGCCACGGTGGCACACGCCTGTAATCCTAGCGTGGAAGCTGAGGTAAGAGGATCGCTGAGTTCAAGGCCAGCCTGGGCTACATAACGAGACCTGTCACAAAACACCGCCAGCAACAACAATAATAATAGGGGCGGGGGAGATGGCTCATAGGATAAGTGCTTGACTGGCAAACTCAAGGATCTGAGTTCAATCCCCGGTTCCACCAAAAAAAAAAAAAACAATAATAATAAATTGGCAGACATCACGGCCCACTGTTCAGGAGCAGCCACGTGGCCCAAAGTGCCCCAGAAAGGCAGGGAAATGTGGCGGGGCACACGGATGTTAGGCAGGGTTGCGCCCTCTCAGCCACCAGAGGGCGCGCTGAAGACACTGAGGCTGCAGCCTGAAGCAGGAGGATCACGGCGAGTCTGAGCTGCCTAACAGGGAGCTCCAGCGGCACAATCACTCAGCACGCGGCATTTATACTGAGCTGCATGTAAGATCCTGTACCAAATACATAAAGAAATACTCTGGTTTCTCTTCAGATCGTATAAATCTTTCGCCTTTTACCAAATACACAAATAAATTTAAAAAATTAAAAATAGATCCTGAAAAAATAGATCATAATGATCTAAGAAATAGATCTTTTTTTTTT